AAGGGCTAAGTACCCTCTGAGGATGCCATCCCTGATGCAGTCTGTAGGGGGGCTACAGCAGCTGAGATAGCTGCCTTTGGTCCCTGCCAGCGTGGCAGTGAGCCTGAATTCTTGCAGCATGCTAGCACAACACACTCCCATGTGCACCTTAGCTGCTTTCCTGGTGTTCTGAAGCACGAGCAGGGAGGGTGTGAAGTGGGGAATCTGTGCAGTGTTGGGAAGTGAGTGTGCGGCACTGACGGTATCATCTCTTTCCCTGCAGACCCCAGCAGTGTGGATCTGGAAAAAGTGGCTAATATCATCGTGGACCAGTCCCTCAAAGACTGTGTGTTCAGTAAGGAGGCTGGGCGCATCTGCTACACCATCATCCAGGTGAGAAGATGTCAGCATGCTGACAACAAATCCTTAGTGAGTCACACAGCCTGCCCTTCCGGATCACAGCTAGTGCTAGTGGGTATCCTGGCGTCTCAGCTGGGCCTGCCTCAGTCCCAGAGCATTTACAGAGAACTTCTAATCTGCAAAGCACTTTACTACCACTACTGAGCCTTCCAATGCCACCCTCTAGAGGAGTATCATCCCCTTTTCAAAGAAAGGGGAAATTCAGGCACACAGAAGGAAAGACTTGCAAAAGGTCATGCAGGGAATACAACCCAGCACCTCCTTTCTCCCAGTCCTGCGTTCTGACCACCAGACCAGCTCCTCTCTGTCTTTGTAAACGTTTTAACAGAGGCTACCAATATTTCCACCGCTTGCCACATCTGCCAGAGATATGCAGAAATCCAAACCTGCCCCCATGTGTGTGAGTACAGTTTCTCAGGCTGAACTGGAAGAGGTTCCCTAGTCTTGGGGCAGTGGCCTTCATGGCAGAGGAACTTATCCAGCATATTGAAATGGTTTCTTCCCATAAGATCAGGAGTGAGGCTGGCCTGTGGAATTCTGCATGCTGGGAGGAGATTCTGTAGCTCCAGCGAAGCAGTGAAATAGAGGAAGAGAATGGAAAGGGATGTGCAGGCCATGACAGTAGCATCAACTCCACATGCAGTTAGACTCCCACCAATCATCTTTCGTTGTGCAACAATGGGAGTCTGATAATGAATGATATGTAAAGACCCTAGTAATTTGGGTACCCACATTGTTGTCCTCCCCTTTACTTGCTGTTCTGGGGTCCTAGGCAGAGAGCAAGCAGGTGGGCCAGAGCATTTTCCGACGGAGTCTGCTTAACCGACTGCAGCAGGAGTATAAGGACCGGGAAGAGCTGCGAGCCCGCTCACCCCAGGCATGGATCTGTTACGTCACCTTCATCTGTAACATCTTTGACTACCTGAGGGTAAGGTGCCTATGCAGAGGATATCCCTATCTGCTGCCTCATGCCTAAAGAGGAACTGAACCAAACCCCTCCTGAGTTAGGCGCAGGGGTTTGGAACTTGGAGCGAATTCTGAATTTTGTGGCTAAACCCAAAAATCTTGGTTCTGAACCCCTTACACTTTGTGTGGGCTGGGGATCTGCATTCAAACATTACGGTTCAGGCTCTTCACTAATTGTTATGTTCCCCTCTGCATATTGAAGGCCATTGCTTGCTGTTCCCCTTATCAATAAAGTAGGGGATGAGGGAAGATTTGTCGGTATGTAGAGCTGAGCAAATAATTCTTAAACAAACAAACGTTGAACAAATGTAGCATCCCTCACAGCTCCTGGAACTGGTGCACATGCCTTTATTGGTCAATTGGCACACACTTTTTGGAGTTCTTTGCTCCGACTGATCTCGGGTGTACTAAATTCAAGTCCCATTGCTTAATTGCGATTGGTTGGGGAAATTGCATGGTATTCTTTCCTGTTCCCTGACTGGACGAGTGCTAAAGCCCTCCCAACATGCATACTGAAATTAGCTTTCTGGGAGCTTTGCGCTCGTAGAACTCATGGGTTCAGATGCTGGCAGGCAGTGACGGCGAAAGGATTGTGAACACAGTTGAAATGTGGGGGGAAAAGCAAGGGTGTAGCTAATTAATTTTAAAATATAATCAAATATTTCTGGAAAATGTATATTTTTGCATCACTTTCCCATCTCTGTTGGTGCCATTGCCCCATGCGAAGACCCCTGATCCTCTGACCAAGGGAGATGTTTCTATATGGTCTCTTAGGCAAATCCTGCCAACAGGAGCCTGAGCCAGAATGCCACCATAACTCATTTCCAGGGGAGCAGTTCCCCTCCCATTTGAGAACCGTGAGGGAACAATTCTTTAAAAATAAAACTCTGCCTCCTCTACCCCTGAGCTGATATGTGCATCTGGCCCATTAACAGGTGAACAACATGCCCATGATGGCGCTGGTGAACCCAGTTTATGAATGCCTGTTCCGACTGGCGCAACCTGATAGCCTGAAGAAGGAGGAGGAGGTGAGCACTGGTGAGATGCTAACATGCAAGGAGAGTGTGTACAGCCAAGTGATTGGCAAAAATACGGTCCTGTAAGGGCTGCTGAGAATGGTTTGAACCAACGTCTGGCCCAAAAGGGAGGCACAGAGCTGAACAGAACTTATTTTCCCTCGTACCTATTGTAAGTGGAGTGGGGACAGGGAAGTTCCCCGCAGCCCCAAATGGAAGAATTCTGGAGGTGCTGGTGCATCCATACTTATGTTGCAACCACAGTTCCATTCTTCTCCCATTCCAAACATTTTTAGTTCACGCTCCAGATCTGACCGTGGCTGATGTAGCTGTGCAGTGATCAGAGACTCTGAATGCCAAAGGCACTGAAACAACCCAAGGGCTGTTATAAAGTTCATAAGTCACTGGCATCCTACCACAACATACCCTTCAAGCACTCAGCCCTACCAGCCTCCTGCTCGTAGCGCAGGTGCTGCTGTTCCTTGTTAGTTTATGTGAGAGCAACCAGCATATGGTCAAAAGAATCCAAGTCACCCTGGAAACAGAGCATGGTTCAGACAGTTCTGTCTGTTCTGTTCAGGTGCTTATACTGCACCCATTGAAGGAGCTCTATGGACATGTTGATCCAGCTTTTGCCACTTGGTGGGAGCCTCAACCTAAATTGATGCAGGTCTGATGGTGTGAATTGCTACCATCATGTTTCTTCAGCAATTTCATGTGTGAAGCTGTGGGATCTCATGGACACTCCTCCTTCCCAGAGAGCCCCCTCCGAGCAGCTATCAACATCCAGGTTCCTAGCCACTACCAGAGATTGATGGCAACTAACAGTTTCCTAAGGAAAGTGGATGTAATAGAAAGAGAAATACAGGGGAACAAGGTGGGGAGAACCGGCCTGGATTAATTTAGAGGTGATGGGGCAGGAGCTCTATTTAGAAACACCATAGGCCCCCACACCATCTTAAGGTGGCTTTTTCCCTTTCCTCTTTTAAGGTGGACTGCCTGGTGCTGCAGTTGCACCGCATTGGTGAACAGCTGGAGAAGATGAACTCCCAGCCAATGGATGAGCTCTTCTCCCTTCTCCGAGATGGTTTTCTCCTGGAGGAGGGGCTCAGCTCACTCTCTCAGCTCCTGTTGCTGGAGATCATAGAGTTTCGGGCTGCAGACTGGAAGATGACAGATGCGGCTCAAAAATACTATTACAGTGAAGTCACAGATTAAACCTTCCATAGCCAGAACTAACTCACTCAGAGGCTCAAAGTTTCGCCCTGGCACTTTCACGAGCAAACGTCACACAAATATGTTTCAGATATTTTTAAGTTAACATTTTTCTAATGCTTTTTCTAAATAGGATTTATATTGTTTACTCCCAATAGACCCTTCATACTGTGTCTTTGCTGGACTGCAACGGGGGACAGTTTGATTTAGGGGCAAGGGCAGTTTTAACCTAGCCAGAGCTTCCATTCTCTTTATCTATGGCTCAGGTTAATTAATGCCTCTCAAACTGCTGATTAACTGTATCCAGAGCTTCCAGCTCAAAACAGCCGTTTACAGTAGCAGTCAGGAAAGCACAGCCAATGGTTTATACGGAGATCAGCTCTTATGTGCCAACTCCGTCAGCCACCAACAGAGTTGAGACAAGTGGAAGGAAAAGCTTTCGCAGCTTATTTGGAAAACTGCCTCTTTGCTGCTTACTGCCACATGGAAGCCGTGCCCATAATACACAAACCAAGCTTTAAAAACAGTCCTCCAGGATGAGTCTCATCTTGCCTTCCTGTGAAATCAATGGGAGCATGATTGAGCCCTTTACATGGGCAACCACTTGTTATTTCTCCCAACCCTGCCCTCTGGCAGGCTGGGTGCCTATGGACAGCAGAAGTAACACCTGCTCCTGGAGGAAGGAGACGCCAGCCAGTGTACATCATAGCAGCAATTTCCTTGAGCAGATGTAGCTAGAAACTGTTTTTAATGAGTTTTATATAGTAACCATGATGGAATTTTTTCCAAAAAAAACAATTGAATGAACTTCAATATTGTACATTTCTGTTGACAAAAGGGACAGGCAAAGGACAAATAAATGTTTTATTGAGGTTTTTTCTAATAAAAGTTTTCCACTAATCAACACCATGTTTTCTCTCTCCACAGAGCTCTTGCTTTGTAACATTTCTAGGGTGTTGGGCTACTATGGAGGTAGCTACAAACAGGACATGAAGAGCTCTTCTGTAAGATTGCCATGTGTTAGTTTTCCTCTGGTACAGTGTGGCAGAGTTGCTTGTGAGCACGGAATTAGATTTTTAAATCAAAACAGAGGCCAAGGTTTGTGGTATTGAATTCTTCCCCATCCTCCTCAAACTATCAGTCTTTTCCTTTGCAGTGAGCAAAAGTGCTCTGTGCTTTCCAGCAAAGCACAACAGGTACAGAAGTGCTAGCAGCTCTTTTACAGGACAAGAGAAGGATTTCAACTCTGTCTAGCCAAGTGTAGGTGGGAAGGCATCTCCTAGAGAATAACCCTTCCTTTAGCTGACCCACTAGAGGACTGAGAAATACCGCTGCTCTGGTAGAGTGATGGGCATCAGTACAAAACCCTAAGGCCAGCACTAAGATGTGGTGACAGTCTGAGGATGATAGAGAGGTTCCATTTTTATTTTCTCATTAACATCCAGATCACATGTGCTCAGTCAAACAATGATTCTGCTAACAGACAGTATTGCAACAATCTAAAATTCAAACTAGGTGCTTTTCTGTCTCTGGCATTGATACACACAAAGAACATTCACAATGCAGAATACATTCCAGCTTGGATGCTAACGAGCAAAAACTTGTTTATCATGTTAGCAGACTGACTTGAAGACATCTCCTCCCCTGCCCTCAGAAAGCAGGTAGGTGGAGGAAAGAGGATATTTTATAGTGTTGCTCAGAAATACATCTAAAGGAAAGAAGCTTTTGTGGATGCATTTTTCATCTTGATTTTTCTCTGCTTAAGGACCCAGCCTAGAAGCAGTTAACAGAAGCTGGCAGGCAACCTCCCCTATACATCATCTCTGCAGAAAGTAGACAGAGGTTGCTTCTTCACAGGCCTGGGCTCCACATGGATAGGGGTATGAGGAAATGTTCTTGTTGTCATAAGGCAAGGTCTCTCTTGCTCTCAGGGGGTCCCCTACCACCAGCGATAATGGGCATACGCCCGGTTAGCCTCGGCCATCTTGTGCATGTCATGCTTTCTCTTGATCACAGGGCCCTCATTGTTGAAGGCCTGCAGCAGTTCCTGGGATAGTTTTTCATGCATGAATGTCCGATGATGCTTATGTTCCCTGCACTCAGTAATTAACCACTTCATGGCGAGGAAGCGTTTCCGATTGTCCTTCAGAGGGCTTGGGACCTAGCAGACATTCAAGCAGTAGCACGGTTAAAATGCCTTACCCCACAATAGGACCATATACTGAAATAACTTTCTTCAATTGTTTAACACTCCCAGGTGATTAAAAAGTGATTGGTGCTGAGGGGGTAGGAAGAAATTAACTCTAGCCAAGCATGAGTGAGTTTAGCATTGGTGAAACAACATTCCACTCCAGCAGCAAAGTGTCCGCCTCTATCAATCCACAGATCAGGCACAGCAGTGCAAGATTTCCCATGTTGGCAGCCTCAAACCTGCCCAAGAGCAGTAGCCACCTGTTGGGACTAGAGGGATGTTCCGTTTGGTTCTTGGCCTCATTGCAGACACTGCCACTTACAGACTGGTTTTTGCGATGTAGACTCTTGTCTATGGGAACTTGACTAAGCTATTTCCTGCAGGTCTCTGATCAACCAGCAGAGGGCAGTAATTTATTGGCTGCATAGGAGGTTGGTGAAGCACTCCATATTTCATTAACAATCCCATGAGTTATCTAGGTGCATTTACCTAATTAGGAGAGCTGAAGAAACAGCCTTTGTCAAGGCTTTAAATAAACCAAAGGTCTCTATATGAACCTTTTCTATGTGCTAACCTGCCTTCTGCAGGGGCTAAACTGCTCTGCTGGTTCTACACAGAGGCAGCATGGTCTAGCCATAAGACATCAGATTGAGATTCCAGAGACCTGGGGGGTTTCTTGGCTCTGCTACTGATAGGTTGTATCACCTTGGACAAGTCACTTCACCTCCCTGTACCTCAGTTTCCCCTCCCGCACGTTATCCATTCAGATTGCAAGTGATTTGGGGCAGGAACTCTCTAATTATGGGTAAGTACAGCACTCCGCACTTACAGACCCCAGCCAAGATCAGTTTCCCATTCTGCCATTATAATACAGATGATAATAAATGATACTTCCAAGGGAAATGCAAGCAGGTTTTGGGAGGGGTGGGAAAGACACTGGTAGTTTGCCCCCTGTCCAATTCTTTCTAGCCTAGGCTGGCCTTCAGATCCCTTTTCTGTTTACCTGGTAGGTTTTGCCTCCTTTTTGGATGTTGTAGATCCCAATGACGGGCTGGCAGTTTTTCAGTGCCTGATGGAAGATGATGTAAGGGTTGCACTCAATGCTCTCCCTCTCCTCCTCAGAGGCTTGATAGTATTTCTCAAGCTGCTTCCTCTTAATGCCTTCTAGGGTCTAAATACAAACACAAGGAAACATGCCCATGCTCCTCAGTGTACAGTTGCCTTCCCTACAGGATTTACTCCACTCCAGAGTGAAGTTAGAATCAAGACAATTTCAGACACACCCTCCCCTTCGTTTGAGAAATCTGGGCCATGGAGGATTTCACCCTACTACACCTTAAGTAGGCCAGTAGGGGGTCCTCGAGCAACTACAGGTTTTACTCAGTCCTCACCTCCTTAGCCCAGATTGCCACACAGACATATTCCTCTGCTGGAGTCCAGTCCTCACTGGTTTTCCCCTCTTATAGCCCATTGGTGGGTGTGAAGTGTAGCAGTGATCACCAACAAATGGGGGGAAGCAGAGAAGAGAGAAAGCAATGCTGACCCCGCTCTCACCTTACAACTGCCTATTAGATTTTCCCAAGATGCACTTCCACCTCCTCAGCGTATCAGTTACACCAGTTTACATATCATACTATTATGCTGCATTCACCACTTTTCTGGTGAACTTATACCCATCATCCAACACATACTGACCATGCAACACACACTATCCTTTACAGCACCAGTGGATGCCCCCTAAATCAGGAATCCTGAAGCCCATTAAGTTGGGGCAGGTCTGTACTGAAGAAATTAGAAGTCTTCTAGACTTCAGCTCCACATCAACTAATGCCCAAAGGGAGGCAGCCTGGTTCAGTGAACAGTCAGGGATGCCCTGAGAGGCAGGAGACTTGGTTCTGGTGCCTGGCTTTGCCACAGTTGTCTTGTCTGATTTTAGGCAAGTCACTAGACTTTTCTGTATCACAGCTACCACCTGTAAAATCTGGATAATGATACCCCCCCCTTCTTTGTGAAGAGACTAAAGATCCTCAGATAAAGAGTGCTAAGTATTAATATTATAGAAAGGAAGTATCCACCTGGTATTAGTGTTGCCCAACACTTCTCATAAACCACTATTTTCAGTTGCTTATAACTCGGCCAAATTTCAACTCTTTGGGCTGACATTTTCCATGCTGGGTGTCTGCCTCAGCATGAATTTTTGGGGGAAAATTTTATCCAGAACAGTTCCAAAAATAAGGCTAGGGAAAAAACATTTTGTACATGTTAGAAAATTATTGCAACCTTTTCTTTAAGCTCTAGTGCTCCCTTGCTTTGGAACAGGGACTTCAAATTTGGAAGGTGGGTGGTCTTTGTGTCAGGGATGTGCCTTTTGCCATCCCTGTGAAAATTCACCCAAATGTGGCCAATTTATAAACCACTGAAGAAAACTGCAGTTTGCACATGCTCAGTAAATACTAGCGAGAGCTCAGCAGCTATATTCCACATGCACTAGGCATGCTCCATCCCAAGGCTGAGTAAGACTTTCACTGCAGTTGCAGCTCTGTGCTGCTGCGGTCTGTGCCAATGCTGGGCATTGGAACTGAAAGCAGGGAGCCTGTCTCCTCAATGACCCTCCTACTTGGCCTAGGCAGCAGGGAGAAAGCGAACCAATTTGATTGCAGAGGGGACAAGCTCTGCACAGGCAACCTTACTTCTGGCATTTCGTAACTTCTGAGTGATTCCCTTGGCAAGCTTAATAAGGTTATTTTAATGCATTTTTTTGGCATGTAATATTTAAACACGAGAGATTCCAGTCCCCTCACCTGTGTAACGATGGATCTGGCCAGCACTTTGTTTCCTCCCTTCATCATCATGTTGGTGAATTTACTGCAAGCACAAAACCAAACATGATATAATTAGAACTTTGGTTCCATCACCAGAGGTCCCTAATTGTGTTGTTCCTGTGATTAAATCCTATCCCTGCTAGGATTTGGGTGGCTGTGCTCATCTTTAACCACTATTATTCAATGGATCTTCCTCCTGGGAAGAGATTAACCCAAATAAAGGGATTACACCAGGGATTGGCAATCTTTGGCACGCGGCCTGCTGGGGGTAAGCACCCTGGCGGGTGGGCTGGTTTGTTTACCTGCCGCATCGACAGGTTCGGCCAATCACAGCTCCCACTGGCTGCAGTTCTCCGCTCCAGGCCAATGGGGGCGACAGGAAGCAGCGGCCAGCACATATCTCGGCCCACGCAGCTTCACGCAGCCCCCATTGGCCTGGAGCGGCGAACCGCAGCCAGTGGGAGCCGCAATCGGCCGAACCTGCAGACATGGCAGGTAAACAAACCGGCCCGGCCCGGCCCGCCAGGGTGCTTACCCTGGAGGGCCGTGGGCCAAAGGTTGCTGACCCCTGGATTTCAGAGTAACAGGAAGGCAATGGGCAGCCCGGTAGACAAAGGCATGGGGGGGCGGAGGGGAGGGCACTGCAATGGCTTTACTTCTCAGCAGTAATGGGCTCAGAGACAGAGCCCTCAATTACTCCATCCATTACATTGTTTTATAATAAGAGCTATTTATTCAAATTTAAACAGTAAATCCCTATCCAGGTAGAGAGAGTTCACTAACAAACCTCCGCATCCAACTCATCTGCCGCCCTCGTTCTGGAAAGGGGAAGAGAATTCTGTGGACATGATCCTGTTAGGAGCTGACCTCTAGCCGTCCACCGGGGTTGTGGCTGCTCAGCCCTCCTGAGCAACGAACTCAGTCCTGCTCCCATTGAAGTCAATAGCAAAACTCTCAGTGACTTCAGTGGGAGCAGGATAAACTGCCCTTGATCCTTGGGAGACAGCTGGTGTTGTAACAAAGGAGACTGTGCTTTCTGACCTGATTGTAGGGTCACTGAACACAGAGCTGGTGACATTAGAAGCTGTAGCTTTTATGGGATGGAGGGCCTTGAGCTCCTGTTGTGTTTTCTCCTCCTCGGACAGCTCCTCCAGGGGTTTGCGGTTCACCTCCTTGTTCACTACTGGTTCAAGGTAACTGGGGCCATACCGGCTCCATCTCACCTGGGTCAACCTGCAAAGAGTAAGAAGGGATGAAGGGGTCTGTAAATTGACATCGCTGTATACAGCATTCTTCAGTCTGGCTCACCAAGTCCATCTCCAGTGTTATGGAACAAGTCCCAGAACAGACAGAGAAAGAGACTGGTACTGGGGATATGCACCCTTCCACCCTTATTAGCATGATTTGTATTCTAGTATTGCTCTGGGGCCCCAGTCAGGATCAGGGCCCATTGTGCTGGGTGCTGTACAAACACACTGTAATAGAGTCCCTTCCTGAAAGAGACTGCAATATCAATAGGGTCTACAAATTCCCACACGGCAAATAATGAACTTCTGGTCACCCATAAGCTGCTGAATGTTAAAGTTAATAATTAATATAAAACCAACAAGAATACAGTGCCTGGATAGCAGCATGCCGTCTCTCCCTCTCTGCCAACCACTCACCTGAGCTACTCCCAAACAGCAATGGTGCCCTCTCTCCCCCTCCCCCTGAGGATATACAGAAAACTCTTGAGATGCTGCCAACCCCTTTCTCTGCAGGCACTAGGGATGCTAATCCCACAAGCCCTAAAGTCTGAAAAAAGTTAAAGGCCTGAAACTGTGAGGTTCCAAGTGCCATCACCTCTCACTGGTTTCAATATAAACAAATCTTGGTTAAAGAGTAATGTTATTTTAATACTTTTGACAGATTTGGGGGGGGGCATTTCTTATAAACAGCTCCTCTGTAAAAGCAAGTTATATAGATGTACTTTGTTCTGGGGTCCTAAATAGGGTGCTGCTTTCCCTTTAGTTACTGTTAACAGGGAACTATGGGGTTTTTTTTTGGAGGGATAGGGGAAGAATACGGTTACCTCTGGATCCTACCTCCAAAGCCTCTCCAAATAATGTAACATTAATAATGTATCCAGGATACAATCCACACAATAATAAATGCAAAAGGAGCAATTTAAAATTCTGGTCCCTTTTAACTTCAATGGACATGGGATCCGGCTCATTATTTAAAGTGGGGTAGTGGGGTACACTTGCAAACATTATTATAATAATTAAAAGTACATACAAGAATAGCAATAGCAAAAAATACAACTGAAGTTCAAGGAAGAAAACAGAAGTGGCAGTCCTGAGCTTTAACATACAAATTGGAGTCTCCAGTTCAGCAATATTGCTTTGATCACAATTATCCTGCAGTTGTCTGCCACTTTATTAATAGAGGTACACAAGAGGGCACAGTGCTTTACAGACAAATACAGAGACAAGGTACCTACCCTCAGGAGCAAAGATCCTGGTTACCCTTTGAAATCAAAGGTCCCAATCCTGCAACTGGATCTGCATGGGTGCAAATTTCCACCTGTATAAAACCAGTTGCAGGATGGGAGACTACAGTCAGACCAAAAACATAGTGAAAGAACAGACCACAGGGTATGGTAAGGGGAATGCTATCCACAAGAGGGAGTGGGAAATAAACATGTTTTTGGGAGCACCATTTTTCACAAAAGAAACAAATATCTAGGATTTCCTGGTTGTCATCGTGCAGCCTAACATGACTGCTCAGAACGTCATAGCAACAGTAGGGCTAGAACTTAGATCTTCCTGCTCCAAAAGCACACGCCCCTGCCACATTAACAGTGAAACTTTTTTTTAAAGCTGTTAGCAGTATAGGGACAACGATACATTTGAGCCGCTCTTATACCGGCCCACATCTTTCACTGGTGGAATAGCAATGGAAGGGCTTTAAAAGAGAAGCAAGTTCCAAGAAGGGATTTGAATGAGGAGAGGAGAGATTGGTTCCAGGCCTGAGAAGCAGCACAGACGAAGAGCAGAAAGACTTTGAAAGCAGAGCAAACGTTGAGAAAAATCACTCCACTGGAGTAACAGGCAAAGCTAGGTCAATGTCAATAAGTGAGATTTCAAGCATTTTCTTGAAACACCCAGCAAAACCCTCCACGGATGCTCGAAAAAGGATTTTAAAATAATCCATAATGAGTGACACTTGGCAACTCAAGAAACCAAAATCTACAGTGGCACTTACACTGCAGTGGGGCAGCACCACTGGAACACACTCACTTGCCATCCTCCCCAGGGTGCTGCGAGGAGTGGCTAGTGCATGCACAAAGCTTTGAAGATAGGACGCGCCATTGCCTTACTAAGCATCACTAAAATGAATCTTTCCCCCACAAAGGATCCCAGGGTGCGAGGCTGGCCTTACACATACTGGCTTAAAGTGGTTTCTATGATATACAGCAGTGGTCCCCAAACTTTTCAGGGTCACCCCCCCTTACCCCAGTCTGTGCCCCACCCCTGTGTCACAGCTCCAGGGGTGACACAGATGGGAGTAAGGGGGCTGAAGCTGGGGCCACAGCCGGGGGCCCTGGGACAGGAAGGGCATGAGGCCAGGAGCAGAGCTGGGTCGTACTCCCTCCCTGACCCCCATGGGGGCTGGCCTAGTCCCCAACTACCCCCCCCCACGTTCCTCTGCATCCCCCAAGAGGAACGCACCCCACAATTTGGGGTACTCTGATATATAGGGTTTAGTTTGGTTCAATGGCTGCACACCCCCACTATGCAAATTGTTCCAGCGCCCCTGAATGTCCCATTCTCCTCCCCTGGTTCAGGGCAGGGGGGGGCAGTCGCGCTGCCCACTCCTCCCCCGGCAGCAGGGCCGAAGCTCGGGGAGGGGGAGAGCGGCCTGTCCCCTCCCCGAGAACAGGGCCTAGGCGGGATTGGGGGGGGGGCTCCCTGACCACCTGTCCCGGCAGCAGCTCTCCTCCATCATCCCGTGACTCTACCCAAGCGCCGCCAGCACCGCGGGGCTGCTCCTTACCCGGGCAGCCAGGCCCGCGCGGGAGCGGCCAGCCGACGGCCCAGCGCCGCGAGCCGCCCTGCCATGGGAGCCGCCATCTTGCATCCGGGCTCCAGGACCCCGTCAGGCTGCCCCGGCCGCCGCCTGCGTTGCTATCTCTTGCCCGCCTAATTGCCACTTACGTGTGCAGAGGAAGTCGGTGCGCGCCTGCCTGCTGACTAGGGGCAGGCCGCCTTCCTGTTGCAGCAGGATATTGTTTTCCCCACTCTGTCACGCCCCCCCCCCTCCACACCATGTGTATTGCAGTGGAGTGAAATGTGGGCCTCATGCTCCTCTCACAGCAGTTTTACTCCAATGCAACGCCATTGACTTGGGTGGAGTGCATCCTGATTTACACCAGTGTGCAATCAGAACCAGGCATGGTGACTCTGGTTTTCCCTCTTTACAGCTTTCAAATACTGACATCTGATCTCAGGCAGCGGTCTGGCAGCAGTTCTCAAACTATGGGTCACGACCTCAAAGTGGGTCGGGACCCCATTTTAATGGGGTGGCCAGGAGGGCCAGCATTAGACTTGCTGGGACCCAGGGCTGAAGCCTGAGTTCCACCCCCACCCAGGATGGCAGGGCTCCGGCTGCAGCTCCCTCTTCCCCCCACTCGGGCAGAGGATCTCCGTCACACCCCCCCCCCCCCCCCGCCCCAGGGGTCATGTAGTTACTTTGTTGTCAGTAAGGGGATGCAGAGCAATGAAGTTTGAGAACCCTAGGCTAAGCATTGACACTGCAATCATCTCCTTGGGCCCTGCCCCCTGCATAGTGCTCCCTGGAGACACACTGGAGCACTCAGGATATCTCAGCACCAGCTCTGAACATTAAGGAGCAAAGGATAACATTTTAAAAAATACCAAAGTGAAGTAGGAGCTTAAATCTCATTTTCAAAAACGATTTAGGCGCCTAAGTCCCAGGAGTTGGGCTTTTTGAACATATCACCCAAAGTGCCAGTATCTGGGCTTTCAGTCCTGTGTGATGTCTTGATAGGATGAAGTGTAAGCCTGTCTTACGATCACTGTTTACATTACTGTCATTGTACCACGACACCGTTTAGATTTCAAGTCCAAAATATGCATTTTCCATGTGCATGGAGTTTCCATCTACTGGATTTTGAGCCAAAATTGGGTAACAACTCAGGCTCTGATCCTGCAACTGGAGCCATACAGGTGCAAAGTCCACTGATGCGGATCTTCCTCTCAGGAAGGGGCCTCAGTTTGCTAGTTAAGGTTGACAAAATAAATAAAAGCAAGCCACGTAAGGGGCCCCGGGCTCCATTTCAGACATAGCTGAGAACTGTCCCTTTATGCTAGTGTTGTGGATACGAGAACCCAGGTGAAACTAGACCCTGGGGCCTGAGTTCTGGGGCCAGCTCCCCATGCCAAAAGCTCTGCCACCCAGTTCAGGGGTCAGCTCCGCTGCAAGGGCGCCCACGCAGTGGCATGGCAAAATCTCTGCCACGCTTTGGGGCCTATTGTAGAGAGAACTCCTGGGTACTGTGAGTAAATCAGAACAGTCCCGGCTCAGCCTGGGGCGCTGTGCGCACACAGTGACCGGGGATGTCTGAGCCCCAGGCCCACTGGGGCGAGGAGCTGGGGGGGCTTTTACCAGCCATTTGTTCTTGGGGGTCAGGATACCCCCAGCCTGCTGCGCGAGGCTCAGGAATCCCACTGTGAACAGCCCCGGCACTAGAGGGGGCCACAGCGGGGAGGGGTCCAGTCCCCCGCCCCGCAGTCCCCCCTCCACCACAGAACTGCCGCCCCTCCCCCAGCCCATCCCGGCCCGGCTGGGCTCTCGCGCGGCTGGGGCGGAGTCTCGGGCCCGGCCGGCAACATGGCGGAGGCGGAAGGGGAGAGTCTGGAGTCCTGGCTCAGTGAGTGACCCCCCGTCCGCGCCCCCAGCCCCTGTCCCCTCAGCACCCCCCTGCGCTCCCCGTCTGCCGCCCTCCGTGCCCGTGCCCCCTGGTCCATGTCCCCTCCCTACCGTCCCTGTGCCCCCCGTCTGCTGCTCTCCGCCCCCTCCATGCCCCTGTACCCACCTTCCGCTGCTCTCTGAGCCCGTCCCCCGTCCATGTTCCCGCTCTACCCCATCAGTGCCCCCGTCTGCCTCCCTCCAGCTCATCAATACCCCTTCATCCTGTGTCTTCCTGTCTGCCACCCACTGCCCCAGCCATGCCCCTGTGTCCCCCTCTCTGTCCCCCATCCTATCCATGCCCCTGTGTCCCCCTGTCCATGTCCCCTGTCCTAGCCATGCCCCTGTGTCCCCCTGTCCATGTCCCCTGTCCTAGTCATGCCTCTGTGTCCCCCTGTCCATGTCCCCCCCATCCTATCCATGCTCCTGTGTCCCCCTGTCCTATCCATGTTCCTGTTGCCCCATATCTATGATTCCCTGCTTCTCTGCTCATGTCTCCCCCTCTGTCTAATGCTCCCATGCCCACTCCATGCCTTCCCACTCCCTATCCAGTTCCCTCTCCCCTTCTGTGCCCGTGCCCCTGGCACCCACTTTCTGTCATCACCACCAACTTGCATGAAAAAAAAAACCTCTTAGCAGCATGATGGGCTGGCTATACAGGTGTTTTCTCTGTGTGTAGATGGACAGAGCCTTCTGATCTCTCGCAGAAGGAAATGATTATATATGCAGTTATTATCATGCTAGTTGTTTTATAAATAATGTACCAAGCATCTGCCTGGAATAGGGCTTTCTAGTGCATTTGGGGTTTTATCCCATGTGTCTGTTTGTCCTTACTGCCCATTTCTGAGTCCCTGTCAGGTTATCTAATAGCCTGATGCTGTCTCTGCTGCCTTCCCCCCTTCCTGCCCCCACCTAGAGTCATGCACAGTGTTTCCTCATTGCTTTTAAATCAAAAGTCTCTAATCATTTCTGAGTATGTACTTGACCTGTCTTGTGCCTGTCCCCTCTTCTCCCAGTGCCTGCCAGCTATTCCACCTACTCGCCCCACTCAGTTTTGGCTTGTTCTCTCTCTCACTGCCTGGCTTTCTTCCCCATTCTCTGTCTGCCTCCCTGTCACTCACTCCCTGTCTCTTTCCTGCCACTGACTTCCTGTCGCTTCTCTGCTCAACTGTGCAGTCCATCCCTGTCGCTGAAGGGGATTGCCTGCTTATGGGGTAATACCAAGGAGGAACTTACTCTGTAGACTGGCTCTCTGCCAGAGCGTGGGGGGGGGGGAAGGGGAGATGGGTTGTTATGTATTCACACTGGAGGAATAATTCTCCCCTCAAAATATCCCCACCAATAACTTGTCCAAATGAGGGTTCAGTGTGCTCATTGTGACTGTATGAGTGAAACAGAAATCCAGAGCTGCAATTGCAGTGGGCACAACAGCAGGTCTGGCCTGTTATTTGGTGATTCATTTGTGAAGCCGGGAAATTCTTTACTCATTCCCCACCTCCTCCAAACTATCAGTTCTTTGGCTATAAAAGGTCAGTGTTCCCTTCTTCTCTAAATTTTCCTGTGCTTTGGAGTCTCATTTGCAAAGTATACTGTACTAGGTGGTCACACACTTTGTAGCTTTTGTAGGCCGAGCTCCTTGCATTCCTCCATTCCCTTCCACAGGTTTCCTGTGTGCTGCTTTCCCATCCCCCTCTATTTCAGGGATTCTCTACAACCTCCTCTTGCCAGAGGCTCTGTATGATCCCCCATCCTCCCCCATTCTTCCTATGCCAGAGATCCCCATGCTCCCTCTGCCCCCCATGACTGGGGCCCCCTTCTTCTCCAATGCCAGAAGCTCTCGTCCCCCCCCCCCCTTGACCCCTCAGCCACATGCCAGGAGCTCTGTCTGTCCCAACTCCCCCCAGACCATTGTCCCCCATTTTTCTCCACTGTAGCAGGGATTCTGTGGGCCCTCCAATTTCCATGACCTTTATGTCCCGTTCCCCCATTCTGCCCTCCCATACTAAATGCTCTGTGTGCTCCCCCTACTCGTCCATGTGAGGAGCTCTGTGTGTTCCTTTATACTGCCCTTCCGCACACCATTATTATTTGTCTGGGAGGGAACGGGAAGTCATTCAGGGTGTCAACATGTTAAACTCTATTGGGAGGATGGACAGAGATGAGATGGGGGAGATAGTTTTGCTGGAAAGTGTTAATTGGTGTCATCAACTAGTTCTTGGATCTATAGACAATGACAGAGGTGGTTGAAGCAGTTGGGTCTCTTGACTAGCTGGAAGGAGCTCCATGTGCCTACCATTTCCTCCTTCCAGTTTTCTGATTTTCACCTGAAACAATAGGATTCTGCCCACTGATGCCTAGAACATACCCTGACATTTTGGAATAGATCAGGTGCACCATTCAAAGTTATTGTAATAGATAGATGACAGAGAAATGCCATCAAGTTGAATGTCAGACCTCTCTTCGCGTGGCCAATTACAATGTGCTATTTGTCATAGTCCACACCTATAGGAATTTCTCCATTAAATCAGTCATACCTAATACGTATTGTTGTAGCCATGTTGGTCCCAGGATATCAGAGAAAAAAAGTGGGTGAGGTAATATCTTTTATTGGACCAACTTCTGTTAGTGAAAGAGACAAGCTTTCGAGCTACAACCTCACCCACCCTGTCTCTCTGATATGTTATTCAGTCATGTTACACCAGGGGGAAACTCCTGCCTTATTCAGAGCTATCATTTCACAGTAGGAGTTACAGGCTTCAGATGAAATAAATAGAGTTTGTCTTTTAAAAAGATTTTATAACAGGAACTGTTACAGACTTCAATATTTGGAATAATATTTTTAAGGGCAAGTCACTCTATTCACAGAATCCTGGAAGTTTAAGATAGAAAAAGTCTTGGTTAGTCCATCTCCCAGCGAGTGCTGAACAGTTCCCAATTGTACGTTATTCTATCCAATCTGACTTTTTTTTGTGTTCCATGTTTGTACGGTGTCTAGCACAATGCGGTCCTGCTCCATGAGTGAGGCTCTTAGGTGCTACTGCAATATAAATAAATAATAATAATGGTAATCATTTGTTTTTAAATGTTTCAAGGTCTGGGGCTTCCACCACTTCCCTTAGGGAGACTACTCCACAAGCTATTAGATCTTACTGCCTAGATTTTTCCCTTTCTTTATTTCATCCCATCCCACTTCTTTATTTATTTGTGTTACAGTGGGCCT